GAGGAAAGTTAGTAACGTCACCCGAAGCGTGAGAAAGGAAAAAGCCATAGAGAAGGAGTCTTCCTTATCCCGTATTTGCCTGATCGTTACGGCCATGTCAGTTGTAGCTTGGCTTCCCTTTATTATTGTCAGTATGCTTATTAATTCACACTACGAGCTGTTTAATTTTCACGCGCTGTATATCACCAAATTCCTTCATTACGCCAATTCGTTGTTGAATCCCGTGTTGTACGTGCTAAAAATTCCCGAATTCAAGACATCCATTTCGAACTTGTTCAGCAAGAATCCTGATAACACAATTACAGATATGACTCCTCCTCTTTCCCGCACGAGGTCGGTTCGTTGACTTTGCAAGTTTGTTACTCCAAAATTCATTAAGGAATCCTCGTTCCCAGGGTCCTCTCCTACCAGTCCCTACGGAGTGTCTCTCCACGTGTAGGAGAGAGAAACTGGGAACGAAGTTTTCATTAAGGCTATTTAAATGTTGGACTAAACTCTGGCAAGATAAGTATACTCTTTTAATACTCTCTTGATTCTGATGGTTACTACTGAACCAAACCTCATACCTGGGGGAAAATCCCTCCTCCATCTGTAGAAATTAAAGTTTCTCGCTTTTTGTGCATTGATCCAGGCTTTTGATTACCTTTTCGCACCATGTAGGGTAATCTGGACTCCGCATTCCGAGAAATTGCTTGTGGTATCTGGGATGCGGGAAAATTTTGCTTGTAAAATTAGGAATCTTGGGTTTTGGAATTTGGAAAACAGTTCAAGGAATCCGGAATTCACTAACAATTGGAATCCAGAATCCAAATTCCACTGTCAAAGACTAGAATCCAGCACCTGGAATCCGGAGTCCACGGCTTGGAATCCAGAATCCAAGACTGTCTTGGATTCCCTTACCCGGGGCGGATCATTTTTCGTGGGCGCTTTGGTTGTCGGTGAAGAAAAAGGAAAAAAATCGAGAGAAGGGGTTCGACGGCTTAAAAGGGCCCTAATGTCGATCCAATTTTCACTGTAGCATGGCGAGGCAGCAGTTCAAAAGTTAAGCCGAGCAGCACTCTGTTAGACACCCCGCTTCGAATTAAATAAATGATTTATAACACCATACAATTATTCTTCGGATCTGGCCTTGATTCTTCAACGTAAGTGACTGTGATCTTTGTTACAGCTCATAGCTTGTAAGATCCCTGTAAGAACTTCACAGACTTAATTTAAAGAGTAGAAATGTTTAGTTTAAAGGGGGAACAAACGTGAAATTTCTCATAGATTGTGAACAGCCATCATCCCATTATTTGTGTCCATTTGATAAAGAAATTGACTGTGAGCATCCAGGCAATTATCCCTGTCTTATCTCGAGTTTAGAGGAACTACACCATGCCATTCAACAAAGAGCTCAAAAACATAAAAAGACAATTATCCGCCTAGAAACAGCTAGAAACTAACAGATTGGTAAAACTAATAGTGAGTGCATGAGTTGGGCATGGATAAATGGTCTTACCCCCGGCTAAGGAAAATGCTATATTTGCGATAAATTTTGTGGTAATATAGAAATTTGGTACCCAGAAAGACCTAATGGCACTAGATATTTTCAAAACACTTTGCTTATAATAGCGAAAAAGTTTTGTGATATGTCACGCCATCATTTTCTTAGTCGAAAATTTGACGGAACGGTGACGGTTCAAAGAAACACTATCAAATGCAAACTGAAGGTATTCCCTTTTCTTATCAGCTAAGTATCTTTTACCTCTCGCTGTTGGAATAACTGTTCTGATCAAGGCGTAAAAATGCCATTTTTAAGGTCAAAATCTAATCCAGACTTTCTTTATTCAAAATCCTCAACCAAACTTCAGTGAATTCATTCCAAACATAGGAGAAGTGCTCCCATTTTATCTGTCCGAAATATGAATTTTTGATCACGTGACTTTCCACGTGACCAAAACTGTACACCCGCGAAAGAAAACCACGACATATTCAATAGGGGAAATTTCTTTCTTATGCATAACTGATCAATCATATTATCTGAACGCACCGCAACCCTTGAAAAAAGACGGGTATGCAATGAAACGACAACTATCGTGAGACAAAGAATGCTTTAATAACCAATTCAAAGACCATGATGATTAATACCTTTCATTAAATTGCCTTGCTTTTTAACAAAAAGAATTGGGGCAATCGTCAAGATGAACGAGGTAAGAAGCTGGCTCTCCCCTAGTTTCACACGCAGCCAGGGGTAGGGGGTGCTCCTTATAGTAGGCTATACGGGGAGGATCCGCCCGAAAGAGGTACCCTTTCATACTGACCTAAAACCTGAAAAAGGTAGGGATTTCATTAGTTAAGGTATATGAAAGGGTAAGAAAATCTGTCATTTCGGTCTGTAAAAAAGCCAAAAATAGCTAAAAGATGCATTTTTTATGGCTGTGAACAAGTTTTACAAACTCTAGGGTGCTGTGATTTATTTATATCTTTAAAGACGGTGAATTTACAGCAGTTCAAAAGGATGCGAAATTACAAACTAAGTATGTGAAAGTGGTAGCATTTGTCAAAAGAAAGTATACGAATTGGAAAGGCGTGCCTTCTTGGTCAAAAATTGGTAAGCTAAATAAAAGGGTAGGTGGTTGGACCTCGGGGGGAGACTCCCTGTACAAAACATTGTTGAGCTCCTCCCGGGTAAACACAGGCATTTTTAGGGGAGTCTTTTCCTTCCCTCACCCCATGGGAAACTTACTTCCCTATAAACGGTTATGTGAGTGGTTAGCATCCCCCAACTCTTCTTCCCCCGTTGTCGTAACTTCAAAAGCGAAGAACCCCGTTAACATCTAGTTACAAATGTCAGTGTTCAGTGGCGGATTCAGGGGAGGGGCCCGGGCCCCTCGGGGCTCCCCATATTTTTAGACCAAACTGAGGCCCGTAGGGCCGAAATAAAAATATTGTTGTTCGCGCTGCCCCTGTTTCGATACTCAAAAGTTGAGATATCACTTTCGGGCGACACCGATCATTGCTCATACCGCGTCCGAGCCCATATCTTAGTCGAATTAATATTACAGACGGACAACCGTCTTGGGCGGGAAACTTGTATATCGTATTTATTCCATTAAGCGCCGCTGCGTCTATTTTCCACATTTTTTGCGTTT